TCGTCTACAGGAGTGATTGGTCGGCTATGCGGCGGGGTAGCGCCGGCAGAAGGGTGATTCGTAGTTCCACGCATACTAGCAGTTCGAGACGGCGAGCGCAGGTGTGACGAAGAAGAAGGGGCTTCATCATTGTTGATGCCGCGGCCGAGGAGAGCAAGCGAACAGACTATTGCGCCGATTTGGCTGATGCCGAGCAAGGCTACGATGAAGAAGATGGCACCGGTGCCGTCGCTGCTCTTGTAGTCTGGGCTTGTAAGTGAGCCGAAGGCGGAGTAGCCTGCTATACCCGCCACGGCTGAGACTATGAGTGGGATGTTGTAGCGTGGGAAGCGGCCGCAGAGGAAGCCGAAGATGGGGGCGGAGAGGAGGGCGATGAGTTGGCTTATTCCTGTCAGCATGGCGGCGAGTTTGTAGGCCTCTGGACATGCGACTTTGATGTCAGAGGGGATGTTGGAGTCGACTTTGCAGCGGCCGGTTGCGAGGAAGTAGTGGTTTGTGAAGAGGGGGATGAAGAGGGAGATAGCGACAGAGGAGGCGCGCGCAACGAAGCCTCCTACGTAGCCGAGTCCGATGTTGGGGGAGGTGAAGCCGAGACGGACGCTTTCGAAGAAGAGACGGGGGTATGATAGTACGACGTCGCGTGTGAGGTGGGAGTCGACATCTTTGTAGTCGCCCTTGTAGGTGAGGCGTTTCCAGCCTTTTCCTTCTTCACCAGGAAGTTCGCGCAGGCCGAAGAAGCAGCCCAGGGCTACGAGCAGTGCAATTGCGCCAACGACATAGAAAGAATCTGCGACTGCTTGGGCGGGTCCCTCGCCGGCATTTTGGAACTTCGTTGGTAGTGGAAGAAACACGAGGAGCGCAACCAATGCGCCACATCCTGTGAATGTGCCGACCAAGCCAGCGATTTGCGATGTAGATGCGCTGGTATCTCTATTCGCTGGCTGCGACTGCGTATAGTCCTCTGGAGAGCTTGACCGGAAGCGCGCAGGCGTAATAGTAAGTTCAGACGATATCGAGGCAACCGTCGCATGCGTTCTACCACGGTCTAGGTTTGGTGACCGCGGATCGGGTTTAACATCTCTGACGATAGTCATAGTAGGCAAGATCGCAGTAACCATAGTCGCGCTATACGAACATCAGCCTACATCCACCCGTTGACATTGCCAAACTCACGTCGCAGTCCCACCCAGACTAAACAGAATTCTCGCAAGCAGCAACTCGGGATACACATTCTTGGCCTGCACAAGCACCCAGAGCGCAACACCAACAATGCTATACCCGAGTACCGCAACGCTCCTCACGCCCACTCTGTCGCTCAGCAAGCCCCACGCTGGACATGCCACCAGCGCAACCAGCTCGTCTGCAAAGCCCAGCGTACCGACCGCATCGCCAACATTATGCGACTGGCCAATGCGCTGGGTAATAACAAAGGATATGGAACTGTTCAGGAAGACGAGGAAGCTGATGCTGAAGAGCGCGACGCCGAAGAGATAGGATGCGATTTGGGTTCGCGTGGCTGTGAACTGGAGACCAAACATGATTGGGCGATTTACCGCTCGCGAAGAGCTGGTTGGACTATCGTAGGCGCATTGAGGTGTGTCGTTCGCGTCGGGCGTGGTGAGATTATGTCGTCGCGCTGCCGGTCCTCGGTCCGATGCGGTCATGGCAAATAGCTGACGACATGTGGCTGGCGCGAGGCTGGTGCACATCACGTGAGTCAAGGCATGGCTTCGACATAGTGCTCATCGACGCTTATGAGGAAAAATGCAGATATCACATAGTAAATTCTGTGCTAGGTATTATCATAGAAAAAAATATTTGTGTGAATGAACAATCTCCAAGAGTGATCCCAAGTCAACCCAAACGCCAAATCCACCCGAGCAAGTCGCACAACGAGAGCTTACTGGATGCGATGACCATCATACACGGAGGCTTTTTGTTGGAGTATAAATACGCTTGATAAATGCTGCAGGGTAAGTACTAGTACCCCAAAGAGTTGCAAAGCACCGCCAATCATGCAAAAGACGCTCTATACCTTGCTCCAACCGACAGGCTGGCCACGTCCCTGGTCTGCTCCCCAGTACTGCTTACTGTCAGGGAAGTCACCGTTCTCAACTCCTTCTCTAAACATATCGCGGGCTTTCTTCACTCGCTCAGCGTTGCGGGGCTTGAGGTCGAATTTGAAAGGGATTGGCTTTGCAATCAACAAGATGGAGAAGTCGAGTGTAGGATCTTCTGGCTTCTTGGTAATGTCACCCCATTCCATGGGTTTGTAAGTGGGGTTGATAGATTTGGACTTCTTTGGTGCCGCATCACTGGCAGATTCAGATCCAGGATATGTGAATTTGGCGAGGATTTTCTCCTCCATGGTAGCCTCTTTGTTGTTGATTCCAGCGTTTAGTTCTTCGTTTGATATGGAGGCCTTCTCGTTCAAGCCGTACACTTGCTCTTTCTTGGTCTCACCCGTAGAGGCTGGAATAGCGGAGTCTTCTGAGCATTTCTTGATGTCAAACAACCATGCAACCGAGCCGATGCCGATGAGCATGTCCTCGTCAGCCACTGTCTGGCCAGTGCACGTTCGTCTCCCGTAGCCAAATTGTGTTGAGTTAATGATAGTAGGGTACTGTGTCAAAGGTTCCTGGTAGGTCGGATACTCCGGCTTCACCCATCGAAGAGGGTTGAAGACCTCAGGGTCTGGATATAGATCAGGTTCGCGGGAAATGGCCCTGTGGTATTGTTAGAACAATTCAGGTTTGACAAACGAGGGGAGAATCACCATTCTAGAGGATGTATGGTACTGCCTTTGGGAATATGGTAACCATTATACTCGTCATCCTGAGTCAGGTAGTGGGGGATACCGGTAGGGACAGGTGGGCGCCAGCGCAGGCATTCGCGGATGACAGCCCGAAGAAAAGGAAGGTTGGGTCGGTCTTCGGAGCGGGGTGGTCGGTCACCACAGACGCGGTCAAGTTCCTCGTGTAGCATAGGCAGATATTGTGGGTAATGGACCATTGCCAAACAGAACGTCTGCATAGGAGCAGCAATAGTGAGAGCTCCTGCGATTCCGTGCATGCCGACAGCATACGCACCCTCTGTATCAGATTTGAAGCCCCACTTGCTGCGAGTATCTAGGAATGTCTTCATCCAAGATGGTGCTGCTTGTCCTGACTTAAGATCCTCGACAACCTGTGCCTGCATGGTCTGGAACCATGTGCGCTCGGTGAGTGCACGTCGTCTTTCCCATGCCTTGGGCGGTGAGAGCCAATCAGGTAGTGCCATCAAGAAGGGAAGCTTGTTGCTCAGAGATCCTGTGGGAGAGACGCCGATAAGAAGCTCACGTGCGCGTTGTTTCAGCTCGTCACTGCCCTCGCTGTGGCCCCAAGCAAGTCGACAGGTGACACGAGAGATGTAAGATTCCATAATGTGGTTGTATTGATCCGGTTCATCCAGAAGCTCGGCCATCATACGCTTCGATTCGAGCTCGGGGTATCGGTGGAAGGATGCCTTTTCCGACTCGCGCATAATGATGTTCGCAAACTTTCTTTGGCGTGTATGGCCGTCTGCAAAAGGTCAGGACAGTACTACGATAGCTTTCAAGTGTTCATTTACCATTTCTGCTAAGCAACGGAAGATATTGCGCACTCGAACGGTTGTCGTCTATCAAAGATGGGATGTGTGGCCTGTCAGAGTAGATGGCTGCCTTTTTGGACAACAAGTCTTTTGCAATCTGATCCGTCGATACCCAGACGTGGTTGTGCCCGGCTAGGTTGCATTGGTAGATTGGACCATACTGCTTGCCCCAGTCGGAAAACTTGATGTATCCATTTTTGTCTGGGACGTCAGGTACAGAGCCGATGATTGGATAGCCTAGTCAACACGAGTTAGCCTGGGCATGTACTGCTTCACCATATGAAAGAAGAGCTCAGTGATGATACAGGAATGGGTTCTGTGTACGAAGTCATTGTCTTACCCTTTGGACCCGGCAGTGGCTTGAGGCCTGTAGGTATTCTATTACGGCGAGATGAGTCCCAGAATTTGTACAGTGCATATGCACTCAGCGAAGCAAGCACTAATAGGAGGGTATGGAATCCCATGCTGGCAAGCTGTATGCGAACAAAAGGGTACGCTGCCAGGTGGGAGGACTACCTGAATATGAGGTCACAAAAGACGTCTGGGCTTATACAGGGAATGTGGGTGCATGGGGTACTACATATAGAGTTGGCGGAACATGTAGTGACCTTTCCACAGCCGAGAACAGTCAGCTTGCTGGCGTCAATCTTCCCTGACGGGGCAGGGAGTTTCAAAATCAAGATGCCCCTGCACAGCCGCAGGGTGCTGCGTGTCAGAGCCGAGACGGTGCATCGGGGCCTTGGACGTGCTCAAGGGCTTTGATTGCAACCGGTGCCTCCGCTTGTTCGACGACCTCACTGGTGTGCAAAGACGGGCGGTTTCCTGGCTGGGCTGAATAGTGGACATGCATCTCTGGCGTGGTACTGGCCAGAAAGCCTCTTGGTCCCCATGCAGTTAGACGTCCAAGAAGCAAGCTGATAAAGAATCGCCGCAGGAAAGCGCCACAGCGATCACTGATGTTGTTGTGCTTCACACTTGCAGTATCGCCGGTGCTGGGCGCGCGAACCGATGCGCTACCATGGACACGAGAGGACGGCGGGGTAGCCAAAAACGATTGGAAGGGGATCAACGCAAGCCCGAGGTAATTTACGAACCCTCGATAATTCCTATCAGAGTCGTCGTACATCATCAGCACTGGGGAATTGCGTGCATGGGCAGCACCATGAACATCGACTTGCATCTGTCTCACCGTCCAAGAACCGGCATTGTGCTGCAGGTCGGTGCATGCTGATTTCAGAGGCGTGCCCATGCTCCTAGCCCAGGAGTGCCAGAGCTTCAAAAGGACGAATGTTGCGGGTAGTAGTTGCAGTCGCACATCAAAAAGATGGTCGATGCTGGTGGTGTGTGGTTGGCGTGTGGAGTGCAAGGGGCTAATCTATTCTAGGTATGACTGCCACAAAGGCGCAGTGATCGGCCGGCAGGCGTAACGCCGATGGCCCGCTTAGTAGACGTCCATCCCTGCCTGCATCGCCTACTCCCATCATAGGGCCCCCAGTTGACTGAGGAGAGCCGACGTCGCATGTCCGACGCTTGTATGCCCATTCAACATTATTATCGCCGTTCCTCAGCCTTTCTTCGAAATATGGAGAGTCGACACGTATCTGCTGTGGCGTCATCCCACCCAGCTCCGGACCCTGACCCTGCTGCAGCCAAATCACCCAACTGCAGCGAAACAAGCCCTTGGCCGCTTCTCTATCGGCAACTATCTACCCTACCACGCCGACATCAATTCTGACGGACATGGGGACCCCCCGAGTCATCATATCTGCCACTCCCAGCCGTGAAACTGTACTTGTTACTTTTCCTGTGTTGCCTTGTTTCCTCTGGTAATGACCCAGGCGGCCCATTTCCCCAGCCAGAAAAAAAACACGACTTTCCCGTCAGTGGCATCCATTGTGGGTCAGCTGGTGGATTGTTGATCCTCTGCCATAATCAACATGAAGCCCCCGTATCCGATCAGCTGCTTATTGCTTTGCATCATTTACACAATAGCGGCCTTCACTGTGTATATTAGCTGTTCGGCTGAAGGCACCTCGGGGCATGGGCAACTCCGTTTGGCCGTCATCGAGCGAGGACACCAATACATCGCAATCACATAAAAAGTAAGGCCGGGATGACCTGCCACTTGCGTCACCGTGCTCAAGTCAAACCTACTGTTCGACTTCAGCTGACGACACGGGAGCTAATAGACACCTTTTCCAAATTTATGCCTCAAATTTAGAGATTACTAGGCTGTGTAGGCTTAATAAGGTATTTGGGCTCAACAGCACGGCTCAAGAACGTTATCGCACGGATAAGACAGGCATTAATTGAGGCTAAAGCAGAAAGACTGCGCGTTGACGGATAAACTGTGTCTACGGTTCTCATTTACCAGAATCTTGTTATCGATTATTTGTTGAACGGGATCGACCCAAGGGTACTCTAATGCGTATACAGGATGCACTGGTTGCACAGAGCTTATCTAGAATTAGGCTCATTTACTACCTGGAGCCCTAAAATAACGTTTCTGGCACGTCTTCCCGAAGCCCTAGTTCTGAATGAGGCGACGAACCTGATTAGCCGTTTTGTTCAACAGGAAGCGTGTAGTAGGGTACTCTACGACGAAAATAGTCACATGTGTAGTAAGACTGGTGCAGGCGTTTGGCCTTTCATCTTGAACCATCTTACTTACACAGGATCTCGCTATTTCGGGATACTTCCTGGAGCCTCTAAGAAATTTCTATTCTTGTGGCGATTCCCGATGGTCCGTCCTTCTGTTGTGCGACTGCATCCACTCTTACTTTATCTAGGCTGTGACACTGCATCTTAGGCCAGGCCCATTTCTGATTTTCGGCATGGAGTAGTGGACCGCCTGGGCGCGCTCATCGACCTACCAGTCTCACCAGGAGGCCACAACCGCATCGCCCCAACTCGATGACTTAGATTATAGCGCAACAATTGAAGCATATGCGCAACGATGCTATCCTGAGCTCAGATAGGTTGCAGTCGGAATAGGCTGAATAGTCGGCGCTGAAGCGCTCGCTGGTCTTTGTAGTAGTACATCTTGCGCAGCGCTCCAATTATTGACTTGAAAAGTCAAGAAAGTGCACTGCCCATCCTTGCATACTTATTACACTGTGTGAGCAAGTATGCACTCTCGATGTGGGTATTTGTTTTCGGGATCTACCGGCATGAGTATCTAGTGTCTCTCGTAGGGCTTCAAGGATGCGAAGATTTGCTAGGATCTATTTACGGGACGATCCAATGAACAGGGGCACAGTGGGCTCATAACCTAGACGAAGACACTCAACCATATCGCAAATTCATCACTGATATCGAACACTAATATTTTGTGAAGGGTCGACTCTCAACATGGTGATGGAAATGTGGGCGTCAGCGTCAAGCATCCTTCGTGTGCGTACTAGAGACACAAACGGGTGAAAGCGGGGCCAGACCTAGACCCCACTGATGGCGTTGATGCTCGTCACCGCCTAGGCTTCACGAATTCACACACCAGGTACTCAAAACCCGCAAATTTGCGAGATCGGGCACCCCAATCTGCATGTTTTTGAAATGCGCTGTTGAGCGCGTCTTCTGACAATACCTACTCCAATGTTGAATGTCGCCGTGTCCCCCGAAACAGCGCTCGGCGACGCATATCGTCCACTTTCTGTATGTTTTCAACATTGACTCGAGCCTAGCCCACATACCGCATGTACACTATCCCCACATCCTTCCCATATCCAAAGCTTTTGGTCCGAGTCGCCGATACCTGGAACCCTGCTAATCCGCCTTGAAGCTCCAATCACTCCCAAGTGAACTCCTCCAGCTCATTCTTGCCTACCTCGATACGCCCACGCTCAGGGACGTTGCCCTTGTCTCTCAAACGCTCCACCAACATGCGACCGATATCCTGTGGCAGAATATATGTCTGTCCGACCAGTGGACGCTACACAAAAAGGAACAGACCGACCAAATCTGGTGTGACAGAGGGCGCGGAGAACCTGACGACCATGATGACACACCAATTATCCAGAAGTTGTATATACTGGCAACGTAAGTAAGATCGGAGGAACACGACTAGTCCGCTGACACTTGTAGCAATCCTGCCATCGCATCCAAAGTCCAAGTTGTTACCCATCGCTGCTATCTGCCTACCCCGAACATCTTCAGCGAACTTCCGCGAATGCGATTTGACGCCGACAACCTCTCTCAGGACGAACGACTACATATCCTCCTCAAACTAGCCTTACGAAACTTGGTCAACGTACATACCCTACGAATAATATACGGGCATTGGAAGCTCACAAATGCGCTCGTTGCAGGCTTTCTTGACGAAAATCGTCCACGCAATGTACCGCTTCGCAAGCTCTGGCTAGAATGTTGTTGTTTTGAAAAAGACGCACTGTACTGGCTTCTACCACACAAGACAACTGGTCTGGAAAGCATCCGGCTACGTAGGCTTGGAAACGAAATGTTTGATTCGACACAAAGGCAACGCTTGAAGTTAATGGAATTCAAACTCTCAAGAGGTGGCCAACGAGATTTTCCAATTCACAACGGGGCTGGCGGGTTCACTAGAACTACGGTCTATCTCACCGAAGAAGGACTGCCTACTCGAGGAATTCAGCCATCAACAGAAGATTTCATCAGAAAGGGAAAGGCTTTCGATGCAGTCATGTGGGAAGAGCTTCCGGAAATTAGAGAATACGTCGATGCAAATCCAGTGGAATTTGCACCTACAACATTTGGCCCGATTGCGCCTGATGTGAGACCTCCCTTAGAGTGGCTGATCGCATGTTCTGCATCTACTCTCACAAGTCTGAATTTGGACTGGGTACATTGGCGCCGTCGAGAAGAAAGCTCCAGCTATCCTGTCAATTCTGGGCATTTTCTGTATGCGCTTAGCAAGATGCGATTTCCACAACTCCGCGCGTTCCAAGTCCGGAATGCAGTTTTACCACTCACAAAGCTTCCCGATAACATCTACCTTCTGGAGGACACCTTTCTTGACTTCCTCGAGGCACACCCCAAGATCCTGTGTCTTGGTTGGCCAATAGACAAGGTCTATGGCCATACCAAGCCATCTGTTGATGTCCAGGCTCGATCGCAGAGGCTAGTTGCACACATGGCTACAATGCTGACGGATCTCCGGATGGACGCACAACATGTGGGACACTGCGAGCCAGTGACAGACGAATCTGGGACAATTGAAGGAGCCCAAGAGCGGACGCGTCGAAGAAGGTTCATCGCAGAGTTTGCTCCGCACATGCGCAAAGTAAAGCAGATCAAGATAGAAGGCGGGATCCCACGAGACGAGAAGCGCGAGTTGATCCGAGCCCTTCACTGGTGTCCGCTCAAAAAGATTGTTATGATAGGCGGATCATTTCCCGCAGGAAACACATGGGGTGCAAGAGGCTACTCGCTCAAAGCCCTCGATCCAGGCCAAGACGGCTCCGACGTCTTCTACGCTCTCGAGAACGAAGATCTAGACGGCATGCTCGCCGCCTATCGCCGCGGCTTCCATAGACCCCTAGACTTCACCTTTGAGCCCAACTACGGCTGGCCACCACAAGCCCCTCTCCTCCACACCATAGCCCTGCACCACGCTTCCACCATTGAAGAACTCAAAATCTGCGGCTACAACGGCTGCCCCATCCTCTCCCACCCAACCCCCATCGCCAACCCCCTCCTCACCGGCCTCCGTTCCTTCGACAACCTCAAACAACTCGTCCTTTCTTTCTGGCTCCTCACCTGGCACGAAGATTCCTACCGCGACGCGGAAATCATTCAGTCGTGGCTCGACACCCGGTCTCCATCTTCCACCGCACTCACAGTCGTCACGCCCCCAGCGTCACCTACTACAGATCAGCCCGTCGACCCAGGCCACTTCCCAAACTTCGGCTACCACCGTGCTGCGCCGCGTCCCCAGGAGTTTAATCGCTGGGCCGTGGCGCTCAAGACAAAGTTCTCGCCCTCGGCGCTGGCGTATCGTGTTGCGAGAGATATAGGACCGTATTTGAGTCCATTGGCTAAAGAGAGGAAGGGCGGTGTTAGAGTTAGAGCGAGTTTCTGTCTAGGGGCGCATGAGGAGAGGAGAAGTGCAAGTGATATTTTTGATTTGGACATTAGGGTTGGCGTTGGGGATCAGGTGCTCGAGTTTGTGGGGCCGAGAGAGGAAGGCGAGACGGGGAGGTGGTGGAAGAAACTTGAGGAACGGCGGTGGTTTTGATGTGTGCTAGGTGAGAGTACATGTGCATTGTTGTTGTTCAAATTTCTGGCTGTTGTCTGTTAGTGGCATGTTCTGATTAGTACATGCTATGCGCATCATATAGCTGTTTCCGAGACAGTCTGATTTAAGTCTGCGAGATGGGTAAATAGGTCAGGGTTGGCGGTCAAAAGCGGCGTTTTTGTATATTTCCAATCACTCAACAAACGACATGGCGTCAGCAGGTTCTGGCACTGCAGTTGGCTTGATTCATGCTTTCATTTCAAGACTTCATTCCGAGAGAACATGATGAAAATTTTCCGTAGTTGTGCCTCCAGAGCTATACGCTCAAACGGTCATGGCCATCCTCATTCGTCATGTAGGATGGACAAGCAACCGGGAGAGGGATGACAGAACGCCCCATGCCGAGCAATACCATTTGCTTGTAGAAGAACCCCGCTTTACGATCATGCACCCGTTCCGAATGGCCTTCCATCGCGCCTCTACTCCTCCGCACTTGACCCGCTCATAGTGTCGATTCGTTTACGAGGAGTTGACGGTGGGGCCCTTGGCGCCTTTGGGGGTACCGGTTTGGAATCCGTTGCTGAACTTGCGGTTGACGGTCTTGAGGTATCGCATGCGGCCGGTACCGGTGGTCTTCCTTCGCTTGGCCTTCTCGCCCCAGTTGACTGTCCTGTGTTAATTGCTTGTCTGGTTCGGTGTGTGCGCGCGTTTGCACTCTAGGTAAACGTACACTTGCGGGTCTTAGCAGCAGGGTAGCCGCATGAGGCGCAGGTGTGCTTCTGGATGTGAAGGGATCGGCGACCTGTAGATTTCCCGTCAGTCCCTGTGGCCGATGTCTTTCCTCTCTCTCAACAGCTCCAATCCAAGCAACTGTATGTCCAGTGCTATCGTCCAGGGAGGAATTACGTACCGCAACGCCTGCAGAGCGTGTGCGTCTTGTTGTGGCGCTTTCCGAAACTGGAGGTACCCTTCGCTATATCATAGTCAGTCTCCAAGCTTGAGGTCGAACGGGCATGTGGGAGCGCAGCGTACTCATTTTGGCTGGGGACTGTTGAAAATATTTGTCAGTAATTGGGCAGTAGCAACAAATTGGCAGAAGAACATACCTTGTGACGCTGTTGTTAGTATCGGAGGGTGGTGTTGTCGCGAATTGTCGTGCGCTTTGGAGAAGTCTCGGGTAGCGAATTTCGAACATTGTGTGAGACTAGTCAATTTTGGCTTAGCGCGATTCACGCCAGAGCGCAACCAGCGAACAGCCTAAGGACTCACGTCAACATCATCACGCAACGGCCATCGACATTGAAAAAATACCAACAATTTTCGTTGCATCACGCTCAAATCACCCACAGCTGCTAAATTCATGTATGGTCGAACTCTGTTCCAGCCAAGGCGGCACCACTCGCACCTACTTTGGGAAGATGAGAGGACAGCATACATGCTGATGACATCCTCCACATAATGTGCACAGATCGAATCAATTAATTGAGCATCACAGTAGCGCTGGCTTGAGTGTTGATGCTAGAGTACCAAGCATATTTTGCAAGGTTGAGGCTGCGGAGAGTACTAATCTACAACCACTAGTCTACACTTGCCGTACTACATCAAGGACCCTGTCTCAGCTCTACTTTTCGAACATGCCATCTTTGACTCGTATTGGGCGTATTGGACAGATGATCTCGCTTGGACTAGCAATCTGTAGACTCTTGGACTGACCTGCAAGACGACATGGCAAACAGACGCACGTGGGTAGACTTGATTGGATCAGAGCTTCATTCACGATGTGAAGAGCTGAATAGGAAATTATGAAACGCATACCAAGAAGGCAGACTTGTGTTGCGCCTTGGACGCGTGGACTATCATCTACGGAAGCCAGATGGGAATCGCCCCAAGACCCCCACACGGGATTCCAGGCTACCCAATCCACCTTCGACTTCAGGAGGACTCGCGACAATCCCTGCACGTGTCTTGTCCGCAGGGTGATGCATGAATAGCATTTGCTCACAAGACCCTTGAGACTCGGTGTTACTGGTTGATGATATCTGATCCAGATCGCTGTCTGTACGCGGCTCAGTACTAGGTATGTGACATTTGTGCACAAAAACCATACTATCTCAACGTCTGCAAGACCCGCAGACGTGAGGCGGCCACCAATATGCTCCTTCAACCAAGCAGTCAAGCACAAGCCAGGACGGCTGGAGAGCACGGCAGATCGTGACTCAGCACACCGGAAGCTGCTTACTCCCACGTGAAAGGCTTGAATTTCGGTGCCCATTCCGCCCCAAGGGCTTACGCACTTGTCATCCCAGGATGAAAACCACCACAACATCCCAATACAATGGTTTGTGGCACCGCGGATATGTCACGCCATCCCACGGGCACATAACTCAATTGCCCCCCTCAAACAGTACACGGGCTGAACGAGACACGAGGCGTGCCGTCATGTCAAGACTGGCATGGGTGTCGTTCTGAAGGGTTGCGTGTGCAGCCAATCAGGCGCCAAAACGTGAGCTCGTGCTTGTCCCTGTGGTGCAACTCCGAAATGCCTCCCACCCAGCATTCACAGCTAAGCTCTATCGCCCGGCTTCTACTGTCATTCTGGCTTGGCCCCCTCGGTCTTCTCTACCAATTGGTGTCCAGCGGGATGGTATTTTGGACGTCTGGTCCAACCTGGTCTCGCCTCCTCGGCATGGACCTTGCGTTCGTAATGCCAAATCGTCCCTGCAGTGGCATGTTGGAGCATGCTATATTGACTCGCTTGCGATTCCATGGGACATCTGATCGCTGAATACCACCGGCTTACTTCCATATACTGCGAGGCAGCCAACCTGATCTATTCTTTGTCGTCGCGTCTAATCTTATGAGTGCTCTTTGGTTTTGAAGGTCAATTTTCTTCCAGAGCACTCACCTTGACTGCCAGTCATGCCGTCTTTCGGACGTACTGGAAATGCGGCGTACCGAGATGTCCCTGGCGTCTATGTGAGTACTGATGTACACAACCTGATACCACGGCCTTACTAATGGGGCTACTAGACTCACATTGCAGACCCTAATGAGCGCCGGCGCATGGCCCTCGCTGAGGTGGATAAAGCACCCTTCGGATGGTATCATGTGCGCCTAGCTGTGGTCACTGGCATAGGCTTCTTCACAGATGCTTACAGCGTACGTCTAACAATGAACCCGACCATACGGACATGGGGCTAACGACTATCTCCAGTTGTTCGCAATCAATCTCACAGTCATATTGCTAGGCATTGTGTATTGGCAAGATGCAGACAACCGTGGTGTCATGCCTCACAATGCCGATACAGCCATCAAAGTTGCCACATCCGCCGGCGCAATCTTTGGACAGTGCGTCTTTGGATACTTGGGCGATTATCTTGGACGAAAAAGAATGTACGGTGTCGAGCTCATGATCATCATCGCAACGACCCTTGCGCAATCGCTTTGTGGAGAATCTGCTACCCTGTCAATTGTCGGTGTTCTTATCTTCTATCGCGTAATCATGGGAATTGGTGTGGGCGGTGACTGTAAGTGTGATTTCCAGTCTGTTTTACAGCTCTAGAATTTCTGGTTGGAATCAGCTACGTAAGTTCGTAGAGACGCTAACAATCGCTCTAGATCCACTCAGCGCTGTCATTACAGCTGAATTCGCCAGTACACGCTACCGAGGAGGCATCATAGCCGCCGTCTTTGCAATGCAAGGCCTCGGGCAGTTGGCTTCGGCACTGGTAACACTCATAGTGGTTGTGATTTACAAAGACCATCTAGTCGTAGCAACAGGGGTTGGCGAATGCGTAGGAGAATGTGCAATGCACGTAGACAAGATGTGGCGCATCATCATTGCATTCGGCGGCATTCCCGGCTGGTTCGCATTATACTACCGACTGACAGTTCCCGAGACACCAAGATACACATTCGATGTGCTGTACGATGTCGAAAAGGCCTCCGTCGACGCGAGAAAGTACCGCTATGGCAAGCAAGGAAACGAAGTCGATCCCGTAACCCAGGCCAAGGCACACAGCGAAATGGCCAAGTACAAGACCCCGCGACCTTCTTTGGGAGAACTATTCCGCTTCTTCTCACAAAAGCGTCAAGCTATCCGGATCTTTGGAACCTCAATGTCTTGGTTGTACGGCTCCCTCAGCCCCACCCCCATCCCAACACCTCACCAACTAACCACCCTCTAGTTTCCTCGATCTCGCATTTTACGGCCTAGGCTTCAGTTCCGCCTCTCTCATGGCCATCATGGGCTTTGAGCAAGGCGACAACCTCTACATGTACCTCCGCAACACCGCCACCGGCCAAATCGTGCTCATCTGCGCCGGCGCGCTCCCCGGCTACTGGCTCACTGTCTTCACCGTCGACAAACTTGGCCGCAAACCCATCCAAATCACCGGTTTCGCCATCTTAACAGTCATATTCTGCGTCCTGGGTTTTGCATGGCAACATCTTACAAAGAAGCACTTGCTAGCGCTCTACGTCCTCGCTCAGTTCTTCTTTAACTTTGGTCCAAACGCCACTACATTTATCACCCCCGCGGAAATCTTTCCGACACGAGTACGCAGTACGGCGCATGGATTCAGCGCGGGCATGGGAAAGCTAGGAGCGGTATTTGCGCAGATATTCTTTGCGCCCATGATTAAAAGGGGTGCCACGCATGATAACCCCACACCTTGGATCCACGGCGTCATGCAGATTTTCGCTCTCTTCATGTTCCTTGGTATGCTGACAAGCTTTCTTGTTCCTGAATCTAAACGTGCGAGGTTGGAGGAGCTGGCGGGCGAGAAGGATGATGTGTATGAGTTACAGGCGAGTTTGTGGCGGAGAGGCGGTGTTGCGGGGGCTACGGGCGTTGCCAGTGGAGGCGATGCGGAACACGCGCTGGGCAACTCGACAGTTGTGGTTGCGAGGGGGAGTGGAAGTATGTGGAGTACAGATAAGGGGTCTGAGAGTGGGGGGAGGGAAGGCGAGGGAGAGAAGGGGTGGTGGCGGCATAAGCATAGTGAAGGATATGGGTATGCTGTTTGAAGCCTCCTGTAAAATATGTATTATCCCCGAGTTTGAATTTTTTTACTTTTCTGATTCCCTATTCCTGCGCCTTTACCCATGTTTTCCATCATTTTGAACCCAGTATATGCAGATACCCAAATATGTAAGAATTAGAAACCACGGAAACTTTTACCTCCCACAAAAAACCCACGTGACAAATCCCATTCACCATACCTGACCCTTATACTTTCCACCCTTTCTTCTGCTTCCTAACGGTCATAGCCCACAAAACAGCCAAAGTCACCGTTCCCAGTAAAAGGAAAATCCCACTCCACAACTGCACACCGATGAAGTCTGTCCGACCATTCTCCTTCTTAAGCAGCATACTCGCAATCGGGGGGCCAATAAGCGTAGCGATGCTGCTCGCACTCCACGACATACCGAGGCGGGTACCCAAGCGGGACATATCCGTCGTGATACTAGCGAACGCCGCCGCCGGCAAAGTGACGAGACCTGCCGAAAAGAAGCCTGTTGTGACGATCAGCAACTGAATTCTCTTCTTCCCAAAAAAGAAAACGAGGCAGAAAAGAAGAAGGGGAAAGAAAGCAGGAGGAGGGGGAAAAAAAAAGAAGGGAAACATACCCCACAAAACACTAAAAGCCCTAAAACTCTTCTCATCCTCAATCGACAACCAGCTCAGGGCCAAAATCCCACTGCACGTCGAACACAGCGCCCACGTAAGTATAGGACCCATGTACTGCGCCAGAAACCCGACAGCCAATCTGCCAAAGAAACTGCCGGCGATAGCAATGACAAGCATGTACAAGGCAGCCTTCTCGTCCGTGCCAAGGCGCTCACGGGCATACGTAGGGATGTAAAAGTACGGGATGTTGTAGCCGAGGAAGGCGGTGAAGGAGGCGAGGGTGAACATGAGGAAGAGGCTATCGTGGAGGGCTGATTTATCGAAGAGGGCGCGGCGCTTGCGCGGTTTGTTGAGCCAGGCGGAGCCCGAGAGGAGGCAGGGGATGCAGAGGAGGGCTGTGATGAGGGCGACGAAGCCGAGGGAGCGGATGGCCCAGGCGAAGGAGACGCGGTGGACGAGGTTGTTGAACATTATTATGTAGATGATTGCTCCTTTTTTGGTGTAAACATGTCAGTTTGATTTTCTTCCTTCTTTCTCTCTGTTGTGTGTATGTGTGAGAGACTTCTGTGCGTTTTCGTTTTTTTTTTCGAAGGGACAAAATAAGAGTGGATGGGGGGGAAACCTTACCGACGGCAATCCCACTCATGACGATTCCCAGTGCAACGTTTCGCCTCTTGTCGAACCATACGCCTACCAGGGCTAAACTGGGGATGTACAGTAGGCCGGCGCCCAAGCCCATGCATATACCCTGGCTGAGGAAGACTTGCCAGTACTTGGTTGATAGACTCAGCATCATGACGCCGAATACGACGAGGAAGTTGCCGACGAAGAGCATGGAGCGGAAGTATCCCATGTCAAAGAGTGGGCCGGAGAGGACGCCGACGAGAATTAGGAGACAGGCTTGAGTTGTGCCGATCCATGATATGGAGGAGGCTGAGGAGGAGGAGAGAAGCGAAGTGCGGTAGTAGGATTGGAATGCGCCGTATGTTAAAGTGAAACCCCTGTAAAATAGATCATATTGGTAAGTGTTTAAGTTCATGTTTGTGTATGATGTTTCGAAACATATTGCTTGGCATATTTGGGGTAAGTCACGGGTGATGCTCGGGATGGAGACGGACGCACCAGATGTTCATGTAAATCAAGAAGCCGCCTAGGACTTTGAGCCAGGCGTGGAGTCCACCATCAGGAGCTGGTGGCAGACCGGATTCGGCAGTGAGTGTTGAGCGTGCATCTAATTGCGCTTCTTTATCTGGTGCCATGCTAGTGCTTCCTGTTACGTCTTGTTCGTCATGTTGCTCGACTACCTCTTCGCTATGCTGTTCAGATGAGGTACAGCTGTATTCGTCTTGCGAGACAGCCTTGCCATCGATGATGGGCTCCTTGTTCCCGACTATCGAATGCGACGTCATCTGGATGTTTTCGCAGCCTTTCCTTCTCCGTTTCGCTTTTGCTTTCTACCTTAATGAAGCCTTTGAAATGGGATCTTTCCAGCAACTGCGGGGGTGTTTCGAGTTTGTCGAAGGAAATATCCCGACTCAAGTCATTCCAAGCTATAGCAGGCGACCTGGACTAGAGCCAATATTTAAACACAAACTCTCTCTTGATAAAACGAAGCCTGTGAGAAGGACACCGGTGTACAGGAATGGAAATCGAGCTCGGAACAAAAAGAGAGAGAGTAGTCCGGCATGCGGAATAACATCATATGCGGAATAAACACATCATGCGCGGAAATGGGTCCGTTGTATAAAGTGACCCACAAATGTTCTAGCGTATGCGTATGTGCTCGTCATCCTTGGGAATAGCCAAGCCTCTTCTTCTTTGGCTGCGTTGGCGTGTCTGTGTGCGGGACGAACGGCAGCTGCCGAGGTCGGAGTAATGCAGTGACTGGATCCTACACGTGACATATAGCAGAGTAATGAAAGGCATTTGACAAGCTCCTTGTACAGGTCAGCAAACATCTATCATTGGTTCATTGATGTCAGCCGCCATTGCGTGTTACGGCACTACTATAGGCAACTATAAGGACCGATTATTAGCAATTCAAGCTAAAGTTTGTGCCAATTGGAATGGGTAAAAGAGCTGCATACAAGTCCAGATCATTCCATCGCCGCACCAGCATGTAACAATAACTCCGTATCGCGACCCGGCAACATGGGCTGAGTCTGTGTCCCGAATGACCGGTGTACATCATTATTGAACGTTTGTGGATATCCGCTCGGTCTGAGCTAGGTTTGATCATTAATATAGCGGAAAGCATCCGGGTTTAAGTGTCAAACACCGTATGCTGTGAATGGAATCCCATTTACATCTTATGGCGTACTAGTGTTTTCTCATGATTGCTGATCGCTGCCTCTACAACTTAAAGAGAAGAGCTCCGAGCTTGGCGATATACAAGTAGTGAACCGCGAAGAGACAATGAAACGTCCGAGTAGAGAAATCAGCTTTCAATTGATATATCCGCCAAGTGTTTGAGAAATCGACAATCGCAGTTCGTCCGGCAGTCTGGAAAGTATAGCCCGCAAGAAATGTAACACAACCGCGCCGGTGCTGTCCAAGCTGCTTAGCTGGGTCCGTTCGCGGGATCGAAGTTCTGTCCAAGTTGCTCCTTGGGCGCTCCTGCACCAACTCAAGAAAATCATCACCACTGTATTTCGAAGCTCAAGCAGCTGGCTTTGCGAACTTGGCTTTCCTGGCCTCTGCTGCGGCCCGGTCCTTCTCACTCATCCAGTTGTTGCCCCCTCCACCGCTACTCTTATTCTCGCTACGACGATCATCCCGGCCATCCCTGTTCCGGTTATCCCGACGTCCTCCCCGGCCTCCAGTACGTCCAGATTCGCGGCGCTTGTTGCTAGCAGCATCATCGCCACCTTCGCGTCCACGCTTCTGGCGGCGCTCTGGAAGAGCCTCATCAAGACCCTTGGGTGGCCCAACCTCTCCAAATTTCTTAGCCCTTTCCAACTTCTTAAGACCTTCATCATCTTCGAACTTTGTGCCGAACTTGAGGGCGCGCTTCTTGCGCTTCTCAATCTCTTCGTCAAGGTTCGTTGCGGCAAGGCCTCTTGAGTAGTCAGGAGCGGGCTCTTCCTTCTTCTCCTCTGGCTCCGTCTTTGCGGCTCCGTCCACGGCGCCTTCAGCTGGGGCGTCTACAGTCAGGTCGTCGGTTTTGGCGAGATCGATATCGGCTACTTGGTTCGGTACTGCTTGCGGGTTCGGTGGCTGGCCCTCACCTCCGGCCTTTTCGACTGTCTCTTTGTTGGAAGTGACGGCCTCAGCAGGCGCTGCTGTCGCAGGCGCCGCAGCAGCTTCGTCGTCATCCCAGTCGATCTCATCCTCTGCGCCGGCAGCAGGCTTCGCGCTGGCCTTCTCATCGTCTTTTTGTAAGCGCTCGACCATCTCGGCCTTCTTGCCAGTGTGAGGTAGCTTGCGCTCTTTGAGGAGCGCTGAAAGCTCGTCGTTCTTCATCTTCGCGTATTCCGTCATGGTTGCGCTAGGATTGGGCTGTGTAGGTAACGTAGTAGGCTTGACGCGACGCGAACAGGGACGCGTAAAGGGGAGGCGACGAAGCTTCTCAAAGGTCGTGGAGAAGTGTGCGCAAATTAGTAAAAGGTGGTAGACACGTTGATGAAGAGAGAAGAAGAAAAAGTGAAAGCGCGAAAGGTGTTTGATGAAGGTGTTGCTGGTCGAGGTTGAAACAATGATTGTGCTCGAGGCGACCGTGGATCGATTGAGTGGAGCTGCGACCATTCAAGCTAGTCTGCTTTCGGTGCCCCGCATCTACCAATTGCTTTTCGCCAACCCTGTTGTTTCAGGTTAGAGTTCACAACAATGGACAATGCTCGCAATAGGAAATGCCTCAGAGAAGCATCCATGTCCCGGTGTATCTTCTGCGCATGCAGTTATGGATTTTGGAGGGTTCTAGTGGCGGTTCATTCAGACATGATTACATATGCGTACACAGAAGTAAGCGTAAGATGGTTAGACCTAATTTTGCCAGTTACAAAAAGCACTTTGATGAGCAAGGGTAGGACTGCAGGTACGCAGACTGAACCAATGGGCTGATGCATCGCCGGTGATATGAAGCTTTCTGTGCTTATTTCATCGTTGCTCGCCGGGACGGGTCAAGATCGACGGTTTGTCTTTATCTGGTCACAGCAGTCCTTGCCCTCTTTCGCGACCAATTAGCATCCTCAAGTCTGCTCGTGGCTTCATGAGAATCTTCCAGCTTGTGCTTGCCAGGAGACATTCTATCTCCCGAGTATGTAGCTGATCCCCAATGATCATTATTCCGTTCGTTGTTGGTGACCATTTTGTCTTCTCGCGTCAGACTTGAAGGCTCTGAACGGATTGTATGACCACTCATATGCGTACCGTCCTGCATCAATGCCATTTCCAGCGCCATTGACTTCACAACGTTTTCTTTGTGGCCGCTTTCATCATCCTTTGTTTTGTGCACCCCACAGGGCTGTGTGCTGAGATTGGACAGATGCTTCGCCTTCTGAACGAGGAAGCTGACTTTGTCTGCATGAGGCGTCTCCGGTTGCGTAGTAGCAGCTATATGAGTTGACTCGGGCATGTTCATCTCCTCAATCCGGCCACTGGTCTTATCTTGGGAGCATGGGTATTGTGCATCTGTAGCACACTGTCGGACGAGGGCTTTGTTTGGTTGCTGCTGAGAGTTGATCACTTGCTGTTGCACGTCCATCTTCTTCTGCCATTCCTGCTCACTCTTGCGCACCTTTGCCAACCATGCTTGATCAAGAAGATCATTGACCGTGTTTTGGTGGACTCGCTCGACTTCACGATCGAAATCTAGTTGTGCATTTAGGCCCTTGATCCGCCGGTCCTCAGCTGTTTGACTGGCACCTATGACTTTGTTGATTGTACCTCGCCACTTCTTTATAAGATTCACCAGCCTTACAACACTCACGCTGGTTCGTCCAAGGGTATGCTCATCTATAAATTTAATGACTGCATCCATGCTGTCTGAAATGTCATGAAGCGGTTCGTATGGGACTGCTGAGGTAGACCCAGAACTGCTACCAAGGTCATTATAGGAGCATGCTTTGTTTGTAGAGTTTGCTGCCCAGGTGCTGGTTGGAAAAAGCCTCGGTTTGACTTTGATCACTGCAGGCTTCGCAAAAGGTATGCTCAAGCCATGTTTTTGCAGGGGTTTCCTTGGCGCCTTCCCTTCGTGTTGGCCGCGAACTGCCTCGGTGGCTTTTTGTATGAGGGGTCCGTAGTTCCGTACACCCCTGCTGAGCCTGATGGTTCTGCCGCTATCGCTTTCGTTGTCACTATCGCTCTCGCTGTCACTGCTAGGCGTGAAGTGGAATAAGTTACGTCTAGTGAAACCTGGGCGACGGCTGTGAGTTGCAGGAGATTCATGTGAGCTAGACGTATTGTTTCCAGAGAAGAAAGTCATTTTCCGGATGTGTATCCCTTGCTGGAGGAAATAAGCGGTTGGGCAAGGTCACGAGTTGGTTGTGCAGGCTTTCGTGGCTTCTGCAGCGATTGTTGTGGGGTAAGAAGAGAGTCAGTGCAACATGCAAACAAGAGTTGTGGCGTGAGATACACGCCCAGGTGCAGTGATGAGTGAGCCAAGGGTCTACAGCGCAGTGATATTCTCTAGGATCACGGTGAATGCTAACTGTGAAGCCAGTGCTAGACAAACCTTTTGTGTGTGAACCTCTGCGGTTACTGTATTCCAGCTGCACTATTAAGGGCAACCTCGCTACTTATCATACACGCCTATGTAGTTTTCATCTCCAATCGTACTTGTTTTACAACTGTAAAATATTCCAAGATGTTGCAGGCAACCCAAAATCTAGTTCTTCTCATTGCCAGCGGCGCGTGGGTATTGGAAGCTCCTGGGGAGGATCATAGGTCTGCGGTTGGCGCTGTTAAAGGCCTGTGTAGCAATTGGGGAACTTTCTGTGCGGATGGTGGTGCCAATGGCCATGAAGAAGCTGGTGGGATGTCAGCGCAAAAGAGATTGCAAGGCGGGCAATGCATACCCAAAGGTCGCAGCTGAGCCCATCATGTATTGGCCGAGTGTTCTAAGCATTCCATTTGGTCCTGGGCCGAATCGAACAATGTTGGTGAATCCTATGACCGTCAGAACGAGTGCGGGGGACATTGACGGCAGTGCGCACCAAAAATGAAGCCAATGATTAGACCAACGGCTGGACATGTGTTAGGACGCTCGAATCTTTCAGGTGTGGTTGTGGAAAAGCATACATCCGCCCATCATGCCACCCATCTTGACTGCATGGTGTTAGACGTTTTCAAGCAGATGCGAGCACGGGAGCATACGCTTGTCAAGCGTGGAGGGGCCATGGGCGCCCTGGGGCATGGATCCGACTGGCACAGGCATTGTGAGGGCGCTGCGAAGGACTGAGGGCGAGAGATGGAGAGAGGGCGCGAGGGGAGGCAGAAATGGGTTGGCAGCTGCAGCGACGGTCCCGCATTGAAGCTTGCACTTGCTCTGGCCGCCGCGGCTCGAGCAGCAGCGCCAAGCGGACACCACCCAAGTCTGGGGAAAGCATAACCGTAGGATGCCCAAAGCAGCTAGCTGAGTCTGTAGTAGTCCATGTACGAGGACGTATGTATGTATGTATGTATGTATGCATGTATTTTTATCACTATTTGCTATTACGTAGTTGCGCATGTGCAGCCGACACCTCTGCCTGCAAAGTCCTGATAGCCCGTCCGGTGGGAGATGAAGAGGCCAAGCAATCCGGCCCACCCAGTCAGGACTTCACACACACCCTGGCCGGGACACGTGACCACTGTAGAAGCCCCCTTCACGGGCGGCAGCGTGAAATGAGGCGAAAATGGTTTCGAGGCCCGTCCGGTGTTTCGCGTGCAGTGTGCAGTTTGCAGAAAACAAGTGCTTCACCCACTCCCGGCCTGTCGTGTCCCATCTCCGTGTCTTTGCCGTGTCGTTGTTTCGAAGCGGCAGTCTTCTCCACGCCCGCATCACGCCTGTGCCTGCGCCGTCGCCTCGCCCATCTGGCCACTAAAGCAGTGCAGTGAGACGAGCCCGACGACACCTCCTGCTCTCCCCAAGCCGCCATCCATACCGCCCTCCCCCACCACCGCTCATCCACCAGCCCGGCCCACCCAACAGAGAGGCTGTTGCTGTGCTGCGTGCCCCCGTTGCAGCCTTGCGAAGCCCTGCACCATCGCTCCTCGACGTCGCACGGCATTCCGCCAGCAGCACCCACACACACGCCTCTATACACCCACCCGCCCCCCAGACGACACCCGACACCCGACACCCGACACCTCTGCGCGAGTGTCTCCCGCCGCGACGCATGAGTGTCTGAGCGACCTGAGCCCCCGTCGTGCCCTCGTTGCTTGTTTGGCGGCCTGTCACGCTGCTGTCGCGCCGCTAAAAACGGAGACCACGGGAAGCGTGCAGGAAAAGTGACGCTGGACTCTGTAAACACAACCTCGCCCTGCCCTCCCCACCACCTCGCCAATGACGGCAGTCGCGCCCCCCGTCAACTACCAGAATATCAACCGCCAGGCATGGAGCGCTGAGGGCGTCCCCAACGGCGGTGCCATCTTCATGCCGCGGAAGAGTGCACAGCGCTCAAACTCGTCGTCGAGCCTGTCGTCACAAGCATCTGCATCCTCCACCCTCTCTGCCTCGTCATCCTCATCACACCCAAACGGTACCGCCCCCCTCAACGCCGCCGACTGGGCTGCCACCCGCAAAGCAAAAGCCCCAAAGGGACTATGGCCCGCAACAAAGACTGAGCCCATCGCAGGAATCACCGCAGCACGAACACAGCCCATCGCTTCCGCAGGCCCTGGTTCCTCGGCCGCCTCGGCCATGAGCGCCCTCCAGGCCCCCTCTGCAATGGTCCCCTCGCAGCACAATGGCCCCGGCCAGGCCCAGCAACAGGCCAACGGCGCACAGCGGGCACAGGGCCAGGAGAGCACCGCCGTCCTGCACCTCGTCCCCATGAACGGCACGTTTGAGCGCAAGACCATCACCGTCCCCTTCTTCCCCGACGTCCTCCGCATCGGCAGACAGACCAACAACAAGACAATACCCACCCCGCTTAACGGATACTTCGACTCAAAGGTTCTCTCGAGACAGCACGCCGAGGTTTGGGCAGACCGACAGGGCAAGATATGGATTAGAGATGTCAAGTCGTCCAATGGAACCTTCGTCAACGGCTCCCGCTTGTCACAAGAGAACAGAGATTCGGAGCCACACGAGCTACGCGAATCAGACATGCTGGAACTCGGTATCGATATTGTCAGCGAAGATCAAAAGACCATTGTGCACCACAAGGTCGCAGCACGTGTTGAACATGCCGGCATATATACCCGCTCGAGTAATGAGATGATGGACCTCAATTTCGGCGAACTCGAAGGATCCCAAATGTCAAACATGATGGGCGGCGGCAACCAACAACAAATGCCGGGTATGCGAGGTCGCACTGGCAGTCAGAGTTCCATGAACGGCCAGCGGCTCCAGGGTCCTGGTGCCATGCCCAACTACACAAATGGCCTCCCACAACCCCGCCATCCTAATTTCTGGTTGCAGCCTATAACAATGGAACAGGTAGTCAAGAAGCTCAACGTGAGTCCAACTTGATGAATACCCCTGCTTGATGTTGCTAACAACAGTAGACGGAGATTAAAGCTGCCAAGCAACAGTCGCAAGATCTCCAACAAGCCCACCAATACATCAATGCTATCCTCTCCGCAGATCCCAAGAAGGAACCTTCCAAGTCATCTCCCATCAACCAAGTCAAGATCTCTCCAATCAAGGATAACAGTCTAAAGGCTAGGTTCTCAGATCCACCAGCTCCTCCGCCACAGCAACCTTTGCCTGAAAAACCCGACGTTGCATCTTCTCTTAAAAGGTCAGACACTGAGCGCGCCAAGACCGGCTCGCCTGTACGCTCCGACCCACAGTTGTCTACGCTCACTGAAGCCTTGACCAATGCCAAGAAGGAGATTGAACTACAAGGCATGCGGTTACGCGATCTGGAGACTCTGTTAAACGAAGAGCGCCGCGCAAGAGAAGACGCCGAGGAGCGAGCGGCTCGTCTTGAGCGTGAGACGAACCGGGACCACAGTGATGCGGAGACCGTAGTAGGAGAAGACGACTCGGAAAAAATCGACCCGATTGAGCCAGAGCACGAAGAGCCTACTGGTTTAGAGAGCGGAAGCCCTATCCCTCCAACTATCGATGATACTACAGCGCGGCTACAGTCTCGTCTCGACCTGATGATGTCGGAAATGAATGAGATGAAGCAGCAGATGGAGCGCTACCGCGAGCGAGCCGAAAGCGCAGAAGCCAACAGCAAGTCGCTAGCAGAGATGATCGAAAACATCAGAAAGGACAATGCAAAAGCCGCCAGTAAGGACGCTCTCTGGCGAAGCAGAAATGACGCTGCATCTGCGAAACCCGACGTGAAGGCCGATGCTGATGTCAACGAGGCTGAAGAGGGCGAAATCACCATTATCAGAGAAGAAGATCTTGGCGACGATGGCCCAGAAACGTCGCCTCCTGCGCAGAGCCAACAAAATGGGCATGCCGTTGCGCAGAACGGCGCAAAGCAGTCAGGGAAATCGACTGCCTTGGTCGCTCATAGGCTAGATCGAGATTCCATGTACTATGGTGGTCCGGTCGGAGCAATGGTGACAGTTGTTGCAATAGGTGTAGCTGTCATGGCCATGCTTAATCAATACCCCAAGGGCGAGCGTTGAGCAGACGAGTGCAAGATGGAGTTCTGTCCTACCGGAAGAAGCTGGTCTCCCGGGGCGGCGACATTAGAAGTGGCTTTTGGAGAAGACACGATGCTCCTGGTCAACAGTCATGGCAACTGCTAGAGTCTGAGCATTACAAGAGAAGAGGCCAAACACACAAGACATCGACATGTTCACCCTAGCAAGCTCGGGTCACACTACAACTTCTCCTGCTTCTTGCACTATTGGCCGCAGCGCTTGTTGCATTCCTTGTGCACGGTGCTGCGCCAACATGACGCATCTTTTCCAACATTATCGTTATGACTGCAACGACCTCACCAAATACAGCCATTCTGCCTTAGACATCCAATCGAATATCCAACAACATCACCCACATACCGATACCTGGACGCTTACTTCAAACCACACCTAATGTCTTGTAACGACATTAGACCAGCACAACAACAATATTTTCCTTGCCTGTTTCCTACAACTTCGGCGTACACCATCCCGGCTGCCCCCTTTGCGTCGGGGGACATGCCCATCTTTTTCTTATATCTTACTCGGCGTTCGAGGGAACTGGGGACGGAGGCCATTTTGCGTGCCGCATACTTTGGGAAATAATCATGTCCGTTTTTTTTTTGCGTCTCCTTAATCCGCTACATGGGAGTTTCTTCCTCTCTCTTCACCTTTTGTTCAAAGGGGCGTTGGTGAAAAGCGAGGGACATGTTTACTTGTTCTTCTGCCTTGAGCCATACGCGCATATCGACAGACATTCTTTGGAAGGACCGATGGGGGATTAACTGACTATATTTTCCTTTGTTGCAGAGTTCCTTTTCTTGTTTTGTGTTTGGTTGGCTTTGCTTTGGAATATACTGGTTCGTTCTTCTTTCCTTTTCTTCTTTCTTCTACTACTTTTTTTTGCGTTGGAAATTGGCATCATGGAACTTATGATGGGTCGAGGGGAAGGGATTAGGGAGGCGGACTGTGTGTGTTGTTCGGTAAAGTTGGTGGAGGGTGAGGCACAATTGGGGGGAGTTAGTTGGAAGGGAGGGATGGAAACAAAGTCGCTCGTGATTACCTCATTTTCCTTCTTCACATTCTCCTATGTTCCGGACAACCCTTTCTTCAATGATAAATATTTGCCCTGAGCCTTTTTTTCTCACTTCTCTTGAATGCATGGTCTGGGATAGATTACTATGTGGTGTTTGGTATGCTTTGTATGTACATACCAAAAAGGGACTCATATTGTCACTTATTGAACAACAAGAAGAAAAAAAAGAAGATATTCCGATATGCTTTTTTTTTTACTTGAGCCCAATACTAACACTCACCGAACTCACCATGCGTAACCTCGTCTCAGGAATCTCCTCATCGTCGCCCCCTCCTTCTTCCCGTCCTTGCTGCTCCCCTTCCACACCAACCTCGACATCATCAACCGCACTCACACTCCCCATTTCAATCCTCACCCTACAATCCGCCTCGGCCTGGAAATACAACGCAATCTCCAGCGCCCGCGGTATCGCTCTCCCCGTCGCCTTGAGATATACTTCCTCTCCGCCACCCGCACCGCCGTCTGCACCTCTCTTCCGCGCCGCTTCCCCCGCTATCTCGCGCTCCACGATGCGCGCATCCAGCTTCCCGTTTGCCTCTGCGAAGCGCCCTCTACCCAGCGCTTTTTCCCGTGTCGAAACCGATTGCTTGTGTCGCTGGGATATTTGCGCCAGGAGCTTGCGCACGCGTTTTAGAGCGGAGATGTAGGGGCTCGAGGCGGTTATGTAGAGGACTTTCGGGTGCTGGGATGAGGCGAAGGGGGTGGGGAGGGCGGGGTGGAGGAGGGGCCGTTTGGATATTTTGGCGTCTGTGGGGTTGGAGTTAGTGGGGAGAGGGAGGGAAGGAAGGAAGGACGGGGAGAGGGAGAAGACGTACTGGGTGGGAGTTTGGCGAGTTTTTGACGTTTTGAACGGGTGGTGGGGTGGTGGGTTGAGGGTTGTACTGGGGGTTTAGAATTCGGTTGACCCTTTTTTGTTGGTTTCTGAGGGGCTGTTGGGTTTTCTTTGCTCGCTGATGTTGTACTGGGCGATGAGGTAGTCTTGCTCGAGGGTGGTTGTGGTTGCCCGCATGGTGGTGTCGCATCAGTCATTGTGATGTCTTGAGCCGCCGAAGCTGATTGAGTCTGAGCCTTGACCTGGCCGTTTACCGAGCGCTTCTTTCCAGCCATTGTTCCGAGCGGTACGAAAAACGAGTTGTGGTTGTGGAAGGAGTGTGAAAGAGATCTGGAGGGACATGTCGCGTCGCGTCACAAAATCTTTATCGATAAAGGCTACTATCAACGGCTTCGGTCTCCCTTACAATCGCTCAACCCCACAACCCCCCCAACAGCATGCACATGTAATAATGACTTCTATAGTGAGCCCAATGCGGCAAAAACTCCTTCATATCCATCTCCCAGGCCTCGTCCCCTACGCCACAGCCGCCCGCCTGCAAGAAACACTCGTCTCCCGTTTCCTCGCCGCAAAGCCGCCCTCCACCACACCCTTGCCCCCTCCACACATCATAACCGCCTCCTTTCACCCCGTATACACCTGCGGCCGCCGCGAAATCGGCAGCGTCTCCCCAGCCCAACAGGCCCATCTGCGTGCAGACGGCCGCGCCGACTTCGTCGAAGCCCTACGAGGCGGGCAAACCACATTCCACGGACCCGGCCAACTCGTCGCATACCCAATTCTCGACTTGCGCTCGCACAAGCTCACGCCCAGGCATTATGTCTGTCTGCTAGAAAAGAGTGTGATAGCTACGTGTGCGCAGTTTGGTGTCAAGGCTATGACGACGGAGCATACGGGTGTGTGGACGAGTCCTGATGATAAGATCGCGGCCATTGGCGTGCATATGCGGCGGAATGTGACGAGTCATGGGGTTGGGCTGAATGTTGATACGGATTTGTGGTGGTTTGATCGCATTGTGGCGTGTGGATTGGAGGGGAAGAGGACGACGAGTTTGCAGCGTGAGGGGTGCGAGGGGTTGAGTGTTGAGGGTGTTGGGAAGGTTTTTGTGGATGAGGTTGCGGAGAGACTTGTGGGTGTGGATGGGGTGGAGCGGTTAGGGGAGCAAGAGGTGGAGAAGATGTTGAGGATGTGAATTGAGGTTGGCCGTTGGATTCTCCGCTGTGAATGGTGTCAGGATTGAATAGTGATGGGATTAGATGAGATGGTTGGTACCCGGTAGAGATGTCTTTCCTGATAGCATGGTAAGCGCCTGGCTGTAGTATATAGATACTGTAGATCGTCGTCTAGATATCAAGGCCTTTTCAATTACGAAAAGCCATGGTCCTCAATCAATTGCTGATTGTGTGCCTGAGACAAACATCATAGACTCTTCAAACTAAGATGCCTAGACTTCCCCCTGTCTCCAGTTCCCAAGAACGCTTGCTTCCATTTACTTGCTTACTACTCCCCAACTCACAAATACCCATCTTCTTTTCGCACAATCTAAACACCTTCTCGAATCCCTTGCAGTCTTATCAGAAAGAAAAATTTCCCATTGTACTAAGCTTCTCCGAACATCATCGGCCAAAACCATAGCACAGAAACCCTTTACTTTTTTCTCCCTCTTCCACCCCTGTAACCAAACCTTACAAGGAACATACCCCCAGCGCGACCAGTGGCTTGCTGATGATCCTCAGGGTCTTTTCGGCACGACGACTTAGAGTTTGGCCGAGGGCGTGCCGGAGTCGGTCCGATTTCTATTTATCTACTTTTGGCCTGTGTACTGTACCCTAGCCCAGGCATCTGCTAAAGTGTCGTTGAGTGCTATAGTGAGTGCATTTGGAGACTTGACTTTTTGTAGAGAGGCGGCTCTCAATGAGAAGTTACTAAGTCAGTGAGTTCACAGAGAAGGAGGTTTTGTGCTAGTTGTCTAGGTTAGATTAGATGGAGACTGGGTTCTTGCTTGTAGTAATGATGCCGTGATACTGACAACAACCCTACGTTGGTGTTTGGACGTAAGGTCGCATCTGCACTGTTAACTACCAGAAGCTTCGAACTCCCAATCTGGCAATTGGGCATATGCATGCCTGTTTTCAATTTTCCTTTTCTTCCTCCTCCAGTCAAAAGAAAATATAGGGCTCAAGTGCAGCGAAGAGCGTCGTTAAATCAACGTACGTTGTCTTTTGTCTTTCCTTTTCTCTTCAACGCCTTTTCCCACGTGCTTAGTATTCGCATAGTTGATGGGCATACTCAGATCACCAGACGAAATCAAAACAAAGCTACAGAAAAACGTACGATTCAACATGATGAGAGTTCCAGATTCTTCGTTCTAGAAGATAATGGGTGGTGGTGGGACACGTCTGCCTCCCCAATATCTCCCACAGTAACCTCGGCCACACGACATGCACAATCAAGATTCCAACATGTCAGTGAGCCCCTGTTCCTTGTTATTGGCTGATGTAATAGCTACTTCTCTCCGTTTTCGCACACACGCATATATCTCTTGACGAGATTCATATGTCCCACATCTGCACAAATACTCATTCATTTTTCCCTTGCAGCCATGGCGGTAAACCGCAACACGCGTCGTGTCCTGGGCATGCATTTGTATGCATGCTAACACGTACAACTCGTGATTTTTGTGGAGCGTGACGATCCAGCTGGAGCACTTGGCAGTCAGCCATGGCGCCAGCCGAACCAGATGAAAATAAAATAAAATAAAAAAACTCCATTCTGCCCTCATCTCTTACCCCTTTGGTTCCAGAAGCGGATCTTGTGCTTGTAAAGACGCTTTGGCTGGCCGATCTGGAGGCGTTTTCTTCGTCTCAGGGTTTGGGAGCGAGATCACTGCCCCCACTGTAGCCATGATCCCTGAAGACATTTGCGTGTCTGCGCCGATAACCATGCATGGCTCGTTTCTTTTTCTTTTCTCTTAATCTTGTACGACAGGTGATGCGGCATGACATGTTTCTCATATAAATATGCGTAGCGGCCCATGCCACAGTGTAGTCTTTCTCCCAGCAAGGCATACAGTACGCCACTGGTCCCATTTCCCCTCACTTATTCGGAAACCGGGTAATGATTCTTTCTCGTGGCGAGGATATTAGCAACCCGGGCAGAGGCGTGGAAGTGTCTGGCCCCACTCAACCCGGCACCGATTGAGGTCCCGTATTCAGGCTATTTGATGACAGATCGATCCAAGGGACCCGAGGAGCTAATCATTCGGATGCAGTCCGCATGTGCTGGTGTGGGTACAACATGGGGAGAAACCCATTTTCGATACGCGAACAAGCGCTTGTGTACCGAGTGTGCTATGGGCGTCCGCGCTAACATAGCGAATATGTACAGGGGTGGTTGCAATGACGGGAGCCACTAGTAATTCGCTCAGAGTGCCGCATAGAGAGCATGCCGATGTAATCCCAATCTGGCCTCGAGCCAACCAGGGACTTGGAACTGCAGATGTATTTTCTTATTCATGACTGTTAAGACTCCACTCGACGTTGGAGTTTGTGACACATTCCACAAAGAGTCTTGTTTACCATGGGTTGAACGCATAACCGAGCGATCCATCGTGTCTCGAAGCCCCTGTATCTCCTCGGCTCGGAGATTGCCTTGTTGCACGCAACGTCGCTTGAATTATAGAGTTTATGTAGTTTGATATCTTGCATAACTCTGTTACTCATTACGCATACTCATACTCGAGGTTTGGCTACCCGCATTACATATTTCTTCTGCTAGTTGTGAAAGGGATGCTAAAGCAACGCCGATGAAACAAGCCACATTATTGGCTATGAGCCCCGGAAAGTCTTCCAGTGGCTTCCAGACAACTGCACCAATCTCAGAAAAAACAATCAGAACGCTATGGGCCATGTTGGCATCTCATCACCGACTCTTATTCTGGAGGTGTTGCCTACCAAATGATACCAGCAGACTCCATGAAATGCAATAGTATAATATCATCCCACGTTTTTACAACTAATTACGGCTGCATATGGTTAGTCTATCGTCTCTGAATGCTGTGTGAATGGACTCACTCTGTACGACCCATTCACAACCATTGGCTCGGTCTGCCCCACGACGGTGGCGTCGGTGTCCATGCGCACGTGTAGTGTCATTCCCATGTGCAATGTGCCGTTCAAGGTGTTTGCCGCGTTTTGCGCCAACTCTTTCGAGGCAAACTTGGCAGTGGCGGCGCCTTTGAAAGCCCCTGTCCTGTTGTCTCGGATGAACTGAATGTCAATTGCATAGCCTACAGTCTGTAACAGTAGAGCATTGAGGTCATCCATAGTGCATTTGAAGCTCAAATTTCGAATAAAGATACCTCGAGCTTCCGTGAGTATGGCTCCACGCTGAATGTTGACGGGGATTCCGTTGGTGGTAGTCGAGTACACCGGTGGGTTTGACAGAGGGTAGGCTGGGTAAGTTGGAACATGGGCGTATCCTGGCTGCTGCTGTGGATAGGCTTGCATCTGTGGATATGTCGAATACATGTAGCCGGACTGTGCTGACATGTATGGGGCTGACGTTTCAACAGGTGCCGCTCTGCCACCCCCCAACTGGTTCACTCTTGCAATGTCAATGCCGCAACGCCCATTGGAGTGGCCACCTTCTGGGACTTCAGGAAATACTGTAGAACAGTTACACCGCATCAACCGGTAGCCGTCACCCCTACGGCTGGTTTCCCAGACATGCACAAGCATGCCTCTGGCTCTGTGATATACTTCTGCCATCAAATCAGTTGTGCCTCACCGTTATTTGGAACCAAATATACATACTGAATACCGCATCTGCATCTTCCCTGTCTTTTAGTCGACACCATCCTTGCATCTCTCCTCTTCTATGGCCCTGGCTTGAGTACACATCAGCCCATCCTGGTTGCTCCTTGACCACTTTACGAAGATGATCTTTGAATTCTTGCCATCCAGCTAGGTATGGTGCATAGCGCATGACGCCAGATACCACGAGCAAATAATCTCCATCCCCCTCTTTCCATGAGCCTGGGTACGACATGCCGGCGAGAAGCAAGTAGCTGAAGTTGAAAAGTTTGAAAAATGAACAATTATGTAGCTTCCAGGTACAAATGAGACAGAATAGCCTTTTCGGTATACCTATAAAGAGTGGGAGAATGTGAAAAGAAAATGAAGTCTGGCTTCGGAAGATAGAATCGTACAAGATGACTTCTGGGACATATGGTAGTACCGGCGCTGTTCTTATGCCTTCTCTTCCGCGGGCTCATCAATGTCATATCTCTACCGGTGCATACCATGACCTATTAATGGCTGAGAGTTTTCATTCTGTCGTCGTCCAGGCTCACCTGGCTGGTGTGGGCGGTGGCGTCAAGGGGGCGTCGAAAAGTGAGGCCATAGGGTCCACCCGTTTCCCCGGGATCTTTGCTAGGGCCATACCCGAGCCGGTGGCCGAGATCCTGCAGGACCGTGAAGCGTCATTGGATACGCCTCATGATTATTGTCGAATCATTCTTGAACCTCTGTCAGCTCTTTCAAACACACCGCAGCACCCACGAAGATCTCACCGCTCTTCAGACTGGACGTCTTCAGCAGACCGCATCTTCAGCTTCAGCTGTGCATTATATACCGTGTAGCGTGGCTTTACGTACATAACCGGACAAAGCAATTCGTGTTGGTCTTGGCTTGCAGGTCAAGGCATGTCAATTGAATGTGTTGACTATACATTGGTTCTCTGAAGTAGCCAGATATAGTGTTTTTGGCTCGGAATTAGTGCAGCGGCTAAACAAGGAGAAATGAAAAAGAATTCTAAAACTACTCCCTCAAGCTAGAAAATGCAGTGCCTAAGCTAGAGCATAAAGAATACTTCCCTATTCAAGTTACCTCGATATAGGAGAATCGCTAAACTAATGTAGATCTTACACTTACCGCACGAGGCAAGATTTATGCGAAAATTATGGAAAATATGGAAAATTTTAGGGATGAAAATCAGCCGACCACCGATCAGATCAGGGATGAGCCTCCAATTGAAGCATATTCTTCCTCCGCCGCCTCCTTCTTGGCCTTTTCCTTCTTGGTCTTCTTCTTCTCTACGTCTGGCTTCTCCGCCACCGCAGAAGCTGCCAAAAAAAACGTAGCTCAAGGTATTCATTAAGTATTACATATAAGACAGGTAAATTTCAATAGCCTAGCTCGCGGTGCTAAAGAGAGATACAGTTTAAGCTCTACGTACAACCATAACCTGCGGGGTAGTAGAGTTTTAGCATCACATCTGCTTCTTCAATTATAATAGCTTGAATTCAAAGTTGTGATAGCCGCCGATGCTGAAGCTCTAGCAATGATAGTCAATAATATTGTGACGTTTTTGAACAGCCTGCAGATTCGAACCTACATAATCAATAAAGTTCGCGACCAACTCCTCCTCGCTCTATACCGAGACTTCACTTGTGAAAAACGCGGACTCATTTTGTTTTAACAGGTATAGGTAATTCGGATATTGGGTGGCTTGGCTCTGGCGCAGAAGGTCGCTTACCAGTCAGGCGTTGGCTCATCGTAATGAAGCCGGTCCAAAAACTGACAAATGCAGACAGTCGAGAATTTTGTCAACTCAACGAGATCTCCAAACAATGAGCTTCTGGTCGAACCCACCGCTTATCAGGTACTCGCCCTTTTCGCCATTGTTCATGATGTGACCAGACCAGAGGCAACGGAGTTTGGAGCCAGCATCATGTGCCTCCAGAGACGAAACCAGTTTCCCGCTCTTTGCCTCGATACCGCGTACGACCCCATCATCAGAGCTTACATACACACCTGAACCGTCCGGACGCCAAACCAAACGTGGCGTTGAGTAAGATGTTTGTGGCGCCAGAGTGGATACGTTGACTAATATAGCGGCTTCCTCCTTATCCGCAATAGCCAGTTCAGCCCGAGCTTGCGACGCTTGTGTGACAGCTCCATCTGAGTGTGCATTAACACCCGCAGCGGGTCCAGAAGAGCGTGTGGGGGGGAGCAGAAGCTTTACTATCAGCAACTTCATATGTGGCGTGCTGCACACGCAATAGATCACACATTAGCAGTTGTACAGTATCACATGCATCTCATGCGCATAGACTCACCTCGATGTTGCGACAGCGATCATATGTGGATTTGTAGGACAGATCTCTATATCAGAGGGAGTAAACGCCACCCAAGCGTTTGAGTGAGGAGCAAGGTTTTGCTTCCCTAGAAGGGTAAAATTTGGTGAATCTGAGCTGGGAACGGAGTAATAGTGCAGGAATGTAGAGTCTCTTCTAGCAACTATAAGGGTGGGCGTGCCATCTCCAGGCAATGTGACAAACATGGTTGATTCTGGTATACTCGGTAATGTTAGAGTCGCTATTGGGTCCCCGAGCCTTGGCTTTTCGGTGCTGATATCAAGCTTGTATAGGAATACCTTAGCATCCCAACCTGCGCTTGCGACGAAGATGGAAGTCTCGTCTACCGAAAAAGTAGATATCTTGACGAGATATTTGTTGTGGTCCTTGCGTTCTTCTATCACAGTGCTGCTGGCCGTATTGAATAGAGTCAGCTTGCCTGACATTGAGGCGATCAGGATATGTTGAGTATCTACAGGTACGACATCCAAAGTCGGTGAATCTTGGAAACCGGAAAATGTGTGAGCAAGTTCAAACTCTTGAGTGTGTGGATCCATCAAGTGTAAGTGACGGTCAGCAGTAGTGACCGCAATATACTGCCGAACGTCTGTTGCAGATGGTAGCAAGAGATCCAAGACCGCTACACTAAGTATATTCGACCGATTTGGGAGAGTTCCTACGACCTTCGGATCGGCAGGTGCTTGGACAGTCCATTCTTGCTTGGTGTCATCAATACCAAGCTTTTCAAAGTTGAGGCTAAGATCGAATTTCTTCTTCTCTTGCAAGACAGACTCAATTGTGACCTGGTCATTCGGGGCTGCGCCAATATCAGGAGGCAGTTCAGCTTCCTGCACGAAGCTGCTCAATGTCTAATCTGGTGTAAGTGGGTGTATACTAGCTCAAGGATGAGGTGACGTCACCTGTTTGTATCCATTAGCTCTCAGAAATCGCGCCACTAACTCGGCTGCAGATGGAAGCATGGTGTTTAATTGTAGACGTTGCTTTTTCAATACTCTATGAACTGGCTGACTTCAAATAGACATGTCCAGTGTAGGGGATGCATAGTGGTTCTGGTGAGGGGAGACTGGATGGAGCTAGCGACTTTATCGATAATGATGGTCCCCACAATGTACCCCAAAGAAGATTCTGTAGAAGAAAAAGCGGCACAACAAGAACACGGCGACTCCCCATTCAATACTTGTTAAAAATGGAGGCAAGTTACAATGTGCCGGGTTTCATCGCCATCCCTGACCATGGCAGGATATGATCATCCTGCGTCGACAATTGACTGAGAAATTGGTCGCACTGCAGCACGCTACACCTGAGCAGCCTTACAGCATTGCGCATCGGCTGAACCTAGCCAGAGCCTATAAGGATCTTGGCTATCCAGATCTTGCTGTAGGAGATGCCTATAAAGCACTGATATTAGTGGATGAGCTGGTTGAAGAAGGCGAATACCATGATGAAGCCCTAGAGGCTGCACGCACAGATCTTGTTCCAGAAAAGATGGCCGACTTATCCATGAGTGCCGAAAAAGAAGCCGTTCCTTCAGAGTATGAAGACATCACGAATTATGCGCAAACACAGTGGTCAAGAACAGCGTATGTAAGCTATTCTGGATTGATTGAAAAATTTAAGAGAAGCTGATTTGTCGAGGCATGATATCCTTATCGAAAGCCTATTAGACTGTGGATGCTTGCGCAGTGCGTTCGACTACATTGCTCGCGCGATGAAAGCATTCCCTGATGATACTGCCTTCAAAACCCACGATGACTCTTTGTCAAAAAGTCTGAAATCCTACTGTGAGCAGAACAGAGAAAATTTTGAGGATATCGAGGTCGATGGTTATCCCGACAAAGGACTTGTTCGTCGAGAAAAATATCCCTGGAATGACCACGAGCCAGATCGGTTCTCGGCAGAATGTTTGGACTTTCTCAACGAAGAACTAACAGAAATAGCACCAAAACTGGAAGTGAGGATCTCTGAGTTACCTCTTCTCGCCACTACCTCATCTGTAGACGGGAAATGTCCAGAATCACAGTTTACCAAGCAACTAGGGTTATTTGCCAAGGAGGATATAGCCCCTGGAGAAACCATACTAGAAGAGAAGTCGCTTCTCACTGGCATATCGAGACTACACGAGTCATATTGCGATGCTTGCAGCATACCTCTCTCGCAATCCGCGGACACAGCCAGCGAAAACATAACGTGTGAAGAATGCAACGAGGTCTTCTTCTGCAGCGAAGAATGCCATGACCTCGCCCAAGATCACTACCACCCTTCGATATGTGGAGTAAGCGTCGACCAAAGCAAGGTGTCTGCTCGTGAAGCAGCCGATCATCTCTATAGCCTTCTGCTTGTTCGTGCACTGGCATTGGCAGAGACCCAGGAGCTTCACCCCCTAGAACTAAAAGAGGTCCGCTACATTTGGGGTGACTATCATGGAAAGGATCTCGATACTGTGTGGCAAACCGATTCAGCAGGTCATCTGACTGATCCTTTTGGAAATGTGCCGCAAACATTGTCCTTTTCCTTCAAGAGCAATGTACTCATGCCAATCCATGTTCTGGAGCAGATAGATGTGAACATCTTTACCCAAAGCGATCGCTATGACACCTGGGTTTTCAACACGCTGTATGCCAAATTCCGAGGAACAGCATCAGCACAACAGGGAATGGATGGAAGACCTGAGATTAGCGCTGTTCACCCCATGTGGTGTCTTGCAAATCACAGCTGCGATCCAAATGTGGCGTGGGAGTGGCGTGGGTCTATGCGGTTCTGGACACGTAAGGAGCTTGTGGACTGGAAGGGTAGAGACCCAACCAAGGGACCCGGGCTGAAGAAAGACGAGGAAGTTTTTGGTCACTACTGCGATGTGCGGCTTCCAGTCAAGGAAAGGCGAGAGTGGGCTGTCGGAGCGCTGGGAGGCGATTGCATGTGCACCAGATGCATCTGGGAAGATGCGGCCGAACGCAAGTAGGACAACTCGCGACAGATGGCTGATCAACAATCATAGTATTGGAAAAGTCGCTAATGTGGGGCTATCGTTCTGCGGGTATCAAGTTCGTCCATGACTTCTATGAATAGTGCGCTTGAACTGTATCGGCTGAATTAGACATGTCAGACACACCAAGCGGCAGTAAACGAAGTTGATGCAGGATATGTAGAGGGGGATCAAGATGTGGCATTCAAGATGTGGCATTCAAGATGGTTTAGATGAGACCAAACCAATCTTAGCAAGCGTACTGCGCCTCCATGAACCCTAAATGGCATTGTGCATGTGGTAGTAGCATACGCCAGACCACAATCTGATCCTGATCAAGCGTGCCGCTAGATCTCCACATTTGACGTAGATTAGGGCCCCTGCATCATGTTCAGTTTGTGTAAAGCGAGACATTCTTTCGCTTACCATTATAGGATCTTGGTGCACTCAACATCCACACGCCTTTGGTGTACTTTTTTGGCTAGTGGTGAGCGCCATTACCTTTGCATTGCATATACCTGGCATCCGCTTCGTGCCGTTGCCTCAATGTGCATTCTGCCGACTGCCGCTTGAACTGCATTTTCCTCCACATTATCATCTCCCACCGATCCCAAAGCGCCATCGCTTCAAGCGCCATCATCGGCTGACGTTTCGCAACGCGCGCCCGTGCCCGTATATGTAGTGACCAACTCCTTCATAGCCTACATCCCGGCCTCGGGTACTGTACACATCTGATCGGTGGACTTCCCGACGCTAGATATTGTTTTTTCCGACCTCATTTACACCCGAAAACTCTTCGCATGCCTCTCTATGCAACATGCGTCAGAACTTGTCATGACATTCAGGCTGACTTCGCAGCTGCTCCAAACCCGACCTCGATGTTCACGTTGGATTCATCTTTTGTTGATTTCTACCATGCGTGTTTGCACCAGAGTTTGTCGTATCTGGTATTGTTAACGGAGTATTACTGATATTCTTTGACTACCCCGGTTCCTGAACCCTGAGTGCGCTCGTCTGTTGATTGTGAAAACGGAGGCGTTAGTCGGTAAGAGCTGGTGGTAACGGATGACACCGGTGGGCCGTTCAACTCCCACTACATGGACAGAGTCGCGTGAATGCGTAATATTGCCAGTGTCATATAACCCACATTGGGAGAACCGCTAGGAGTACGAAGCGCCATTTCAACGATCCTGCAACTTTTATCGATTTTTAAGCCTGCCACACAGCTGGTGAGTCTTCTTCCCGACAACCAGGTCAGCATTTCCAAAAATGGCAATAGGCGCTCTGGCCGTGCTACCACATTGTGACGTATAAGAGAAAGAGAAAAGCCACATCATTTGATCGACAGGGCTTTGTGATGTATGTAAGACATGTCAAGTGCGGACATGGAAAGGCGGATCGATCCACAAAGGATATGCACTGCACGAATCGTGCATGGCGTGGCGGATTCAGACTACGCAACCACTTCCCAAAATGTGGGGAAGGGTGTTCGATTACGATTCTGGGCTTTGAGGCACCTCGTCGAAGCTTGTATCTGGTACAAAGGTCAATAATCTAATATTCATATATTCTCAAATGCTAGCACTATTAGTCTGGACGACGCCCGGCGACAGCACATGCAAAGCAGTTGGCTTCCAAAGGAAGAAAGCGTAACATCGTATATAAAATGAGTATTTTAACAGCCTGTCTGGCGGAGATACAAGCGTTCGTTACGTGACTAGACGTTAATTACTGTCTAAAAACGGAGATTCCTGAATCCTTATTAGCACGCCAATCAGCGTAGAGAGAGATTCTTAGAGCTAATCAGATTGTGTTTCTTCGTGCACAAAGCCCCTCTAGGACTGATTGTAATATGCAGCTAGAGCTGCAACTATATTGGCAAAGGTTTGTGGATGAAGGATCTTAGCCCTTGTTAACATGTCACGTATGAAAGCCCCGACAAAATGCACGACGGATATACGCGCCCCCACATACATACAGCAACAAGACGGGTACCGCATCCGCCTTACCAAACAGAGAAACCAGGTGACCTCAAGCTACAGCACCGAATTCAGATATACGACAGCAAACCAATCCTCCAGTAATTATTCAAATCTATCCGCTTCACTCTTGTGCCTCGATCCTTACCAACCAACTCAAGTAATATCCACGATTGGAGGCCGTGCTGTTTCCCAAACGCCTCAGACTCAGACCCAAGCCTCGCAAGCAAAACTGCGTCATCTACACTCGTATCTTATGCAACTATCCAGCATACCAGATCCCCCTCCATCACACCCCGGCAAGCAATCAGAAAGTATTTCACACACCCACCCCAGTACCAACTAAAACACCCTAGAATATCACACTGTAACACGGCCGTGCCAGCCCCAACGCACATGTATGTAACCATCCCACTCTTAGCCAGATAGCAAAGTGAAAATGCCTCAGCGGCACAGAAAGCAAACCCGAAGCAACGATACTGCAGCTGTGAGTGTGTGGCTATGCAGATACTCGCAGATCCGCGGAGAAAGGCAGGGCAGGATGGCAATGAGTGCATGGATACGTGTACAGGGTTTAGGGGGTGGGGGGGGGGGGATGGAGCTATGTGC